GACTCTTCGTCGGAGCCGTTCATCCACCGGTCCTGCTGGAAGATCTCACCCGCAACCGTCGTGACTACATCGTGCCACACTAGCCTGTTACACTGGTAAAGCTGTAGTAAGAGCTGGCTTGGGAGAGTGATAGCACCAACTGTAGACTATAACTCGATCCTGGCACAACAGCGTCGAAAGTGGCAGGTGTAGCATTATCATTAACCACCACCAAAACAAGCCTGACGATGCAGCATCGATTGCACTTTGAGAGATGCCATATCCTTTGATCCAGATACGAAAAGTCGATGGAAACACCGCCAGTTTTGTGCCAATAATAATTGCAATTCCACCAGTATCCATCGCGGACAAAGTCGGCATATAAGTAGCACTTGCGGACGCGTCAGCATTTATCACTGAACTTTGACCCCCCGTTTCAGAATACATTAAAATATCCACAGAATTTGTAGTCTGAGCAAGATTTCTCGCTATTTCTCCGTTTATACTCGCAAAACTTTTACAGGTCGTAGCAGTAGTAGGGCACAAATTGATGTCAATTTGTTCCATCCAACCGGTCGCATCGTAATGTGCTAAAGCTTGTAAAAGACGTTTTGCGAAAAAAGAACTGATCTTTTCACGACAACCTGCGACTCGGCTGCGAAGATTGACACGACATGTTGACCCCCATGATGACACGAGCGAAAAAGCGAGAGATCCATTCTTTGATCGTGGAACTACAACAGAACCATCCAACAGCACCATGACACCCCAATCGAAGCCAGCAACTGGCATTTGAAACTCGTACTTCGGATTAACTTGAGACTGTTCGAAATACGATATACTTATGTTGTGCGCGAATCCAAAAGACCAGCCCGTCTTAAAAGAAAGTCAATTTCACGTCTTGAAACTCAAAAATATCAGTTGAAACAGCCGCACCGCTGTTCAAGGCAGACACAACACCTTGAACAAGAGAGACATTCGTCTCGCCAGGCTGTTTCGATAGAGGCGCAAGTACGTAAGTAATGGACGCCGGGGATAACGCGACTTGGCCAACACCACTTGGAGCATCGGGATATCGGCTGATGCTCCCAGCTTTGCAAACGCATCCGAAGGCACATCGACCTGAACAAAGTGGGCTAACCATACTACTACTAGTATGTCATCAACACTTTCACAACGAGATCTAAAACGCAACAGCTTGCTTTCCGAACGAGTCGCGTCCCTCGCTCACTCGCTGCGCTGTTGCGACGGTACCAGTCGGTTGTGGGTGGCCACAGTCCCGGCAGAAGGCGGCAGTGGAGTTTTCGAACGGCATCCGGCACTTAAGACACGAGGTCATCGGCGTCTCCAGTGAAGCATTGGCCACCACCGTCGACCGCGAATGCGCGGAGCTGGCAGAGGCTCCTGATATTGCGAAAGGTGACTGCCTTTGCCGCACCTGTTCTTGAGCTTCGAGGAATCTTGGTAGAGCGCCTGGAACCCTTGCCAGATCATGTACCGTATAGTTTCAAGAAGTATTGTCCGACGCTTTGAATTGGCTGGTACAACGCATTGACTAGGGGAAACACCCCTCCTCACAGTGTGGATCACTCTAGTGAGGAGCTTCCGATTCTAATTTCCAGCCAGTTTCTGAAGCAGCACAACCTGTTGGAGCACTACTGCGACATCAACGGGTTTGGCTGTGTGCGCTTGGATGACTCGGTCGGAGGAAGTATTCGACAGAACGCGATGAATCGGTTCTCTCAGTCATATGCCAAGTCGCTCATCTTCATGCTGAACGCGAAAGCGGGTGATGTCGGAATCAACTTGATTGCGACGCATACACAGTCATCTCGACAGCGACTGGAACATACAAGTGTAGTCTCTTTCGCTTGGAATTCTAAAGGGCGACAAAATAATCGCGGAACGATGGTGGTGAACGTTCCAGCAGAGTAGGCTATCAAATGCGAGGGTGAGAACTGAACGAGAGGCTTCGAACGCCATGACATGCATAGGTAACGACGCACTATATGCAGTCTAGCTCACACCGATCTTTGGACTCATGACGAGCAACAACATACCGAGAGAGTAACCACTCAGCTGGTTTTGTGATCTTCCGTTTTTTGTACACTTCGTGACTTGCAGCAGCCGGAGTGGGTACCGCAACCATAATTTGAGACATTTAGGGTCGTTTTAACGCCGTAATGGTTGCATTACCCAAATTCATAAATTACCTGCAAATTAAAAATCCAAAAATAACACTTCCGCATTAAGTACGTTTCTTTTAAGTACGATCATTCTAAGCCTCCAATTTCAGAAATTGCGTTGGTGCGGGAAGAACCCGGGTGACACGTGGCACCAGGACGCCAGCTTCTGATACGACGTGGACGAAGTGACGAGACCCATGAATCGAGCGCAAGATGCCAACGCACCCGGTAAGCGACAGATAGCTAGTATTTCCGGTTTCTTGGTCGTTTAGCTTGACCGTTGAATGATTGTGTGTAGCGAAGAATCGCCAGCGACTGACGAAGCTGCGAGATCTGTACACGGCTCTAGGCATCGAAGGTGACGACGACAGCAGCGATGATAGCAAGGACCAAGACGCTTCCGCTGGTGAGGATGAAGATTACGAAGAGGGGGGCCATTCGCGATCCGGATCCGATGGGGGTGACCTGACTACTACCGGTAATGGCCTATACTATTATTTATGCGTTGTTTGCTTTTTATTTATAAATATGTGCGTGTGCTGTTTGATATGTAGCGCTTAAGCAGCACAAGAAGGGCGTCAAGACAAAGCAGAAGGGCGCGGCAAAGGCAACATCATGTAAGGTTTCTTTATGGCTTATATGGTTGCTGTAAGAATAGCAGAATTTTGCTAATGGTTGCTATTGACAGGTGACAAGTTTGAGGCCACGCTGAGCCGCGTATCCCCGCATTTGCCATTGCCGTCCCGACCGCTGAAGAAACAGAAAACAGTTCCACGTTCGGATCATTCGGATAATGACGAGCATGAGGAGTCCCGATCTGCCGGCCAATCAGGGTCTTTAGGCGAGTACACGCCTAGGGTTCGAAGAAGCAAACATCTTGAAGAGATCGACTCGATGAACAATGACGGGGACAAAATTGTAAACGTAGTCCCTCCGTTCGCACCAAAGACAACAATTTCGTCGTGGCGTGATTTCGAAAAGCAGTTCACGGAGTACATGGAGAAGAATAATTTAAAATTTCGCGTGCGGAGTTCAGAAAGAACGGAATCATACAACAAGTATGAGTGTTAATATGCTATTATCTGTATAAAAGTATTGACGAAGCTCCGCTGTGTTTTTATTTGGTTTTAGAACGCACCAAGACCAAATACCTGTCACATTCGAGTACTCGCAAAGGATCTATCGGTGCACTCACGGTGTTTCCCAAAAATCAAGGTCCAAGGGGCATCGCAATCGCAAGCAGCGGTACTGCAAATGCTCGGCGCGACTAACGGCAATTGTTTGTCGCGTTTTGGGCAACCACTACGAAATTGTGCTTCGGAACCAGGTTTGGTCACTAATGTTATAATTACGATTATGTCTATGTAATTACGATGCTAATATCTATTAACTTCTGCTGTTTCAGAACCATACCCACTCACATTCCAACAGCGAAACCCAAGCTTCGAGTTACTTGACAACAGCTACGCTGCCACTCGACAATCAAGATCTTGAGGATGTGAAGACATTGACTGATGCACGTGTTTCTTCGACTCACATTACCAATTTCCTGAACGACCGCATTGGTTAGTAACTTTGTTTCGGACGACTTTGTTATTATTCAATCTTATCGGTATATATTATGATAATCTAACGTTATACAGTCTGTAAAGTGACGCCACAGCAAACCAGAAACCTTATCCGAAGTATCATGAGGCAAGATTCAGCTCAAGATAGAATGAAGGACTTGCTTCATGCTCTTCGACAGCTGGACGGCAGCGACGTGCTTGTCATCCAAGACCAGTTGGATATCACGTGTGGTGTGCTCATGCAGACGAAGGTACAGAAGATGATGTTCGATCGGTGGGGGGAATACTTGACGATGGACTTCACTCACTCTACAAACAACCTCGGCTACCATTTGGGTGAGTATGCTAAAGCAACCATATTGATTGTACGGTAACCCTTAACGCGACTTTAAATCTTATTACAACCGTACTATGATTATAATTGTTTTGTTTTGTAGGAAGTTTGGTCGTCACTACGTGTACGGGCAGAGGTTTCCCTGTAGTAGACTTCATGTGTCTGAACGAGAACGCAGTCACGATTAGTTCGATCTTGAAATATTTCAAGGAAAAGAATCCGGGATGGAAAGACGTCAAGAGCGTGGTGATCGACAAAGATTTCGTGGAATGGCAGGTTCTCGAGCAGACCCTTCCAAACGCACAAATTGTATTGTGTCAGTTTCATGCTATAACCTATTGAAAAAAAGGTGGTGAAACGTAAAGAATTCCGGCTGAGGGTTGCTGATAGAGAAGATTTACTCGATTTGATGACGAAGTTGCTCTACTGGTACGTTTACTGTGAAAAAATATCTACACACTAACAACTAACTATTCTATTCTCTGCGTTAGTCGAACGCAGGACGCGTATCAATCCGGCTATGATGCGCTGAAGGAATACTGCAGAGCCGCAAGGAAAAGCGCGTTCTTCGCCTATTTCGAGAAAAAACTGGCATTCCTGCCGCATTATGTGGTCGAACTACGCACATGGGAAACACTTTACTGCTGGGAATACGACCACTAACAGGATCGAGTCTAACTGGAAATACTTGAAGATGCTTCTCGGGCTCAAGACAAGAATTGACAAGACATTGGCGGGCTTACTCCAGCACCAGATGATTATTACGCGTCAGATAGTATCTGCAATTGAGAAGCAGCATTCATCATCGCGATTGCCGAAGACTGTGCCTTCATTCTTGCGAGCGGTGGCAAGGAGGCTTTCACCGTACATGTTGGAGAAAGTGAGAAATGAATGGGAGGGATTCGTGAATGGGAATGAAAGAACAACTTGCATGCATGAAAAACCAGTTTCGAAATGGAAAGTTTATTATTCACACCATGTTTTTGAGTGCGACGACGTGGATTGGACATAAACATGCCTATTCTACTCAAGCCACCACTTGCCATGCTGTCATCTGATGCATGTAGCGAGCGAGGGCCATGAATTCCAGATATTACCTGGTATCTCAGTCCTTGAGCGCTGGAGTACTTTTGAAGCGCTAGACGTCAAGGATGAACTGACTTCTGCGGCCAACGCCCTACAACCTATTGTGAACATGTCAAAGTTAAAGTTGCCGAAGCGCATAAGGTTGCCGGACAGTAGTGACCAATCAGCTGAGGAACGGAAGTCGCACACGCCGTCAGATGATAAGAGAGAAGTTGTATATATTCGACTACGCCGGGGTGAATGTGCCAAACAAGTTGTGCTTACGTCAGCTGAAAAATATTCATACGCGAAGGCGATGTTAGAACCACTGCTCAAGCATCTCTCCGAGTTGTCCAGTGCCGATTTCTATCAGGAGCTTAAAGCTTGGAAAGAGACTGTGGAAGCTGGGTTGAGCAGGAGGGAGGCTGCTACTGCTAACACTAGGGACATTGGCGACAACGAAGACGATGAGGCCGAAGCTGAGCTGTACTCGTTTCTAAATCCTCCTTCTGATCTGTCTACAACTAATCTCATGAATGCGCTACAAAATACGGAAGGTGTGACAGATGGTAGCAGCGATGGTGAGCCCATACCACAAACGCAGAAAGCAGAGATTTCTCTAGTGGATTCAGAACAAGTTTTGAGCGTGGAAGATAACGCGAACCAGCAGCAACCCCTCAAACGCCTCGTTTTGCAAGTTTCTGTGGACCTAATAAAGCTGAACATGGCGGGCTTGAACAAGCTGATACACCGACACCTCCAGGTTCAGACGTACCAGCTCGACAAGTGGATATTATAAACGTTCCAAAGCCGAAAACGAAAGGAAAAACACGATCAAACCCCAAGCAACTGAGACAGACAAAGATTGCGACTCGTCTCGCCGTGCACAAGTACCCTAGCGACCTGACGGTGCAGCTCTACGAGTTTGTCATCTGGGCACGGAACACGTCAAGTATGATACTTGTGGCAGAAATGGTGAACAAGTATTTAGTTCAGCTGGACGACGCGTACCTCAGGGCACGTACTATTGAATGCGGCTGGGAGGCAATGAGACCAGCAGCATATATGCATCCATTTGTAATTCCGGGACCGCTAGAGCTGAACTGCGGGAACCAGACCCACTTGATTATTCCATCAAGAAGCAGGCATCCAGCTCGATCTCGTGGCGTCTATCGATCCCAACCTGTGGAAGTTTAGCGGGTAAGGTTGCTGTATCGATATGGTTGCTATAAATTAAGGTTGCCGAAGTATGGTTGCACTAACAACAGTTTGCTCTAGACAGTACGTGGGCGCTGCAACAACATTCTATTATGTGAAGACCAAGGTGCGTCAATGGTTCGAAGACCGGAAATGGTTAGAGCAGGATTGGCGAAAGATTGTCTCAGATGTGGACTTCCTTGCTGTGGAGACTGGAACTAGTGGTTTGTCTTCGGACGCTGTGCGCGCCCGGCATTGGGCCATGGCAAATGAGGTCATTTCGAAATTCGCGTCATGTCGCCTGAGTGCTGAATTTGTGACGCCTTCTAGAGGGTGCTTCATCACATTTGAAAACGTGGTGGGTGCCCTGTGTAAAGGCTGGCTGAATGATAGCCCAATTGACTTCTGCCTTGAGGTCATTGGTTCCACGGCAGAGAAATGTCACGTGCTGTCATCGCACACGACGTCAACTGGGAGGCCAAAGACACCAAAGAAACTTATAACCGATACCAAGTTTATCATCCAGCCGGTCAATTTGAAAAGGAGCCATGGGGGAGTCGTAATCACGACATTACACTATCTGGAAAGTGCTGATATTTTACGGGTACATCCCTACCTGTATGAGCCCCTCATCGACGAAGAGTACCATGAGGATATGGAGGAAGTTTGGAAGGGCATTAAGGACCAGGAGAATAAGGTCGTTATGGAAGGGCTTCGCGGTTTCGTGAAGCGATGGTGCCAAGCGTCGACACCCACAACTAAACTACGCATAGATCCGATTCAGTGGGTCGAAGTTCCGCAGCAACCTGACTACGCGAGCTGTGGAGTGTTTGTTGTGGCACAGGCTTTCAGTTATGTACATGGGAATCTTCAATGGCAGCACAATAACATTTCCAAGACCGACGTACAGGTTATGCGTCTGCGAATGCTGTGGTTGATCCTATGTAAGTCACGCGAGAGCCCCATGGCTCGTGGCAAAGTGGAAAGGATGAAGAAAATTCAGGATCAGCTACTGAAAGAACTAAAGTAGGACGTTGAAGCTGTATTAAGGCTTAATACAGACAATACTTAGCACTAGCTATTCAATTTGTTGACTGCCATCTCTAGCAGCACCCCGAACGAGAGGTTTCCGTCGTGAACCACGCCGATGTCGCCCATTTCTGAAGCCAACGCGTAGATGTTCTCCTCGTTGTCCTCAATACGAGACAACAGCTCCATCTGAGCTCTTAGTATCTTTTCCAGACCCATGCCGATCTTATCTAGCTTGTTCGTCATGTCCATAAACTCGCCAACTCGTGCGCGTACCAGCTCACGTGCCAGCAAACGTCCGTCCATTGTTGCGCTGTGCTTGGATCTTTGCGAAATATGCTAAGTGCTAAAAATGTGTACCACACGGAAACTGCGTAGTAAACACACTAATAAGTTGGATACATGCACTTAATGTGGTTAACATATCTCTAAATTTAGGGAGTGCTCGTACGCTATCGCGTTATGTATTGGCAATAATGGTGACGACGACGACGTGGCAATGTAATTTAAAATAAATTACCAGTGAACATATGGTTTTGTGGTTGCTTTAGGTCATAAGGTTGCGCTATTTTCTGTCGTCTTGTCGTATTGTGGTTGCGGTAACGCCTCTCTGCAGCAGCCGGCGGACATGGAAGAGCTCCGAGCCAAGTTTCACAACGACGATCTGCGTCTGTTCGATGGCGACCTGGACGAATGGCTCAACCTCGCGCGGGTCAACGCCATCTACCGCGTCCGCGTGCGCGGCACAACGCAGGTGATGCTGGTGAAGAAATACCTCCTCAATCATCGCGTCGTGGTGCGCCGTGGCGATAATACTGGCCAGGTGCTCGATCTTCTTCTAGTCGACGACCAAGGAGAGGAGAACCCCGAGTTCAACTCTGCGACGATGGCGGTCTACGTCAAGCTCATTGATATCTACAACATTGATAAGCTGTGTCGCTGATGCTCAACCCACGCAAGACCAAGAAACGACAAAAAGCTAAACTGCGTAGCGTGGTCGCTCGCTTGACAGAAGAATCTGACGTTCGCACAGTTATGCCAGATAAGAAGCAATCTCTTCAAAGCGCTGGAGAATGAAAAGCCGAGATTGATGACTACGATGACCACGCTGACGATGTGGAGGCGTTTGCATTTCGCCCGATCGCCAGTACAGAGTCCGCTAACACGATCGCCAGTACAGAGTCCGCTAACACGATCGCCAGTACAGTATCCGCCAGCACGATCGCCAATACATGTACAGAGTCCGCCAGCACGATCGACAGTAGTCCACCAGTATTTTCGCTGGCATAGAGTATCCACTTATTCGCCTTGAACAGCATGAGCTGTTTTGCAACGCCGATGGAAGTGTCGTAGATGTCGCGGTGCGTGGTGAACGTTCGATGGAGAAAATCCTGTTCAAAACGAAGGACATTGGCACGTTCTTCGGGATGCAGAGCTTAGTCAAGACAATACTCTCGGATGAATCCAAGTATCAAAAAGGTGTCGACTACGTCATTGTCTCCGAAAGTTTAAACGACCAGCGGTCTACCGTCGATCGAGACTTCGTGTGCCTGACATATCAAGGGTTAATTTGTGTTATCTTCGTATCTTCAAGTGGGAACGAGAACCGCTCGAAGATGGTTAGCTGGAGTTTGCGAATTTTGTATGCGCATCAACTTGGTTCAGATGAAGAGCGGTGCGATGTAGCAAGTGATCTTTTGAAGGTTATCCTCAATCTAAAGCTCTGCGGGCTGTACTTCGTCGACTTTGACCGGGTGTCTGACTTGTATGAGACGATGGGCCTCAACAAAACTGAGTATCCTCCAGAAAGCTACGGACCGTATCGCATTGGAAAGTTGGGCCTTTCCGAAGACTTTCCCCAACGATACAAGAATTTGAAGTCTCACTATGGACGATACACGCCCAACGTGAACTTGAAGTGGATTCTACTGGTGCCAAAAGGATGTTTGGACGATACTGAACGTCGCTTGCTCAAACTTGTCGATGGATACGCGATGAGTTGCACTTCAAAAAATACAGAGAAGTCGTGATCTACGATCCTGTTCGAGAGACTTGAAGTCTCAAGATAATTTCATTTTATAACACGAGCTGAAACACATTTACAACCTCATCGCGGATGAGTTTCCCTGCTTCGACTTCGACAAGAAGTTGAAAGAACTCGAACTGATTGCCGAAGCCAAGTTTGCAAAGAAAGAGATCGAAAACACTCGCGGGAATAGTGATCTCAGAGTTGCGTGGTTGACAGATTTACTTAATCTTAAGGACCCGCATGCCAAGGAAGTAGCTCAGCTGAAGGAAACACATGCCAAGGACGTCATCAGAATCCATGAGCTGGAACTGCAGCTGCTACGCAAGGATATGGAGATTCAGGCGCTTCGCCACCGCGATCAGATGCCTCGCCACGAGAACAGCGAGTAGTTTGGGGGACGTGTGAAAAAGTGCCAGATTCTGGCATGTGAAAAAGAGCACCTATCAGTTTCGTAATTTCCGGTTGTGAAAGGTGACCTCGTACAATTAATAGTTATTGATATAGGTGCAAATCCACTCACCTATTAATTATGAGGATGCATTTCACTTGTATAGCACGAGTGTTGGATTCAAATTGCCGAGCCAGGCTCCAGGAGCATTCCACATTTTGCCTCAAGAGCGAGAGCCGACCATCGGCATGGACGAACTGCTCAAAGAGCCAGCGTTTCATAATGAGACCAAAAGGATTCTCACTCAAGTATTTGATCCTGGTAACGGTTGGTTCAATGCAATTGTCGCTGCTAAGGCCGCTCATGTCGAAAAAATGGCTCAGCTTGAGAAGAAGAGATCGCTCAGCTCAAAAACGCTCATGCCAAGGACGTCAACAGGATTCACGAATTGGAACTGCAGCTGCTACGCAAGGACATTGAGATCCAGGCGCTTCACCACCGCGACCAGATGCAGCGCCACGAGGACAGCGCGTAAAGTTTGGGGGCATGTGAAAAACGACCCGGGGGTGTGAAAAGGAATACCCATCAGTTTTGTAATTTCTGAATGTGAAGGTGACCTCGTACAAATAATAATAATTTTTGATAGGAGGTACAGATCACCACTGATTACTAATTATGAGGATGCATTTAGCCTTAGCTCCTGAGGAAGATCCATCCGATTTGGGAGGATACTTCGTGATCAAGGGCAATCAGTACATCATCATCAACATGGAGAGCATGAAGTACAATAAGGGTATTTGTAACCAAATCGCCGCAGTGAACCAAATCGCCGCACTATGCGATTTTGTTCCCGTTGGTAGCATGACCATACAAACTACAGTATATTTAGCTTCAACTTGTGCTTCAACCATGGTGTGTTACAGGTATCCTTTGTGCGAAGCTATTTGTCGTCCAACAATCGATTCTAGCGTCCCCGCAGAGACTCGTACCGCAAAACCACTACTCTATTCCGAATCCAACGCTTCGGAAGAACATCATTTACCGTTTTGCGAGCCTTCGATCACCAACCACAGCCTCAAGATGCCGTCGATTCCTAAACGGAAGTCCTTCCCCGGCTCACTGAGCCTTCAAAATGAGGAGACAACAAGGAAGAAATGGACGGAGATGGACTTACGCGCTGCTCTAGCTGCTGTCACCTCCAATGGCCCCGAGCGACTCTCCAAGCGGGCGGCCGAACGGGTATTTGGTGTTTCGGCCAAGGCCATCGGTAGGTACTTGGCCGGACAGCAAATCGGAGTCAAACCAGGTCGAACAAGTGCTCTTCGAGATGTTGAAGAAGATGCCCTCGTCGAAGGGCTTCTGGACAGAGCTCGACGAGGCTTTCCTGCAACACGACTTCACCTCAAAGCCATTGTTCTCGATGCTATCAGCGATGGAAGAGCACATCAATTCGGACCGTATGGACCCTCGACCAAGTGGATCTCTTCGTTTCTGAGCCGCCACTCGACTAGACTCACCGTCCGCAAGGCTAGAATTCTTGATAGTGCGCGGGTGAACGCGACTGAAAGGTCTGAGATTGAGTACTTTTTTGCTGAGTATTCAGACTTTATAAAGAACCATCCAATTACTCCAGCTCAAATATACAACTGTGACTAGACTGGCGTAGACCCTCTAGGTGGAGCCCCCAAGAAGGTCATCACGAAAAAAGGTGCAAAGAGTGTTGCAGTTCAAATTGGCCAGGATCGAGAAAACACTACCGTCCTGTCAGCTATAAGTGCTACTGGAGCCTTGAGTCTCCCTTATTTATCTTCAAGGGAGTGGGGTTTCCGAGTGACTTTCTAAACGGTGCTCCACCAGGAAGCAAGGGTACTTCGACACCAAGCGCGTTTATTGATAGCGACATCTTCGAAGAATGGATCGACCACTTCATTGAGCATATTCCTGCATCCCGACCTGTCCTTTTGATTTTGGACAACCACGCATCTCACGTGAGGCTACCTGTTCGACGGAAATGTATTTCTAATGGAATCCATCTTCTAAGTTTTCCGCCACATACAACTCACGTACTGCTGCCGCTTGACGCTGGCTGTTTTCGTTCGTTCAAGTCCAATTGGAGAGACATCATACTTGAATGGTCAAGAAGTACAGGAGGTGCTTCATTACCTCGCCATTGTCGTTCTGAGGTAATTGGGAAAGCGATGCTGGAAGCGTTTACACCGCTAAACATTATTGGCTCCTGGAGATCGACAGGTATGTGGCCTGTAAAAAAGCAAAGAGTCTTAGAATCGTTGAATATGGACTGTTCGAAGGATTCTGTGCTGGAATCGAAGTACGCAAAGTTCATCGCCGTCCAAAACCCACTGCCACTTGAAGAAATTGAAGATCAAGGGTTGCGGCGCCTCAAAAACAACGGTCTAGATGTACACGGCTTTCGAATGTACTCAATCGCGTATAGGGACCTCGTAAAGCCAACCCCAATTAAAGGAAGATCTCCAAACAAAGTGGTCGTCAAGCTTGGAGCTAAGAGGCTGCTTACGCACGCAGACTGTATTGCCGAAGAAGAACGCAGAGACGAACTCACACGTGACTCCATCGAGACCTCGCTAATGAAGTTTGAAGATTCATGCGAAAAAAACGTGAGAAAGAGCACCGTAAACGCAAAACAAACGTTGAGAAAGGGGAGAAACGAAGATTAAGCGAGAACCGAAAGCTCATGCAGTTGGAAGACAAAGCCACTAGACGTGTCATGGCAGCTGAAAGACGTTTGCTCACAGCCAAGTTGAAGGAAGACAAACGCGTAGCCACTGAACAGCGCCGAAAAAATGCCCAAGAGAGAAAAGAAGCTGGAGAGCGAGATAAAGAGGCAAGGCGGATGGTCCGGCTCCAGAACGAAGTGCTGCGAGGTAAGAAGTCAGCAAAAAGGGCCAAGATGTAGATACTTTTTGTATGAAATTAGTTGTACCATACGGTGCGGCGATTTGACTCGGTCTGTCGCCGGGGCCGAAAATAAACAGCAACTTTTTGAGCTTGACATATTGACGTCAATTCGACGCGGATCCAGACTTCCTGCACATCAGGAGAACGAGGAGATCAGTGGCTTTTACCAGATATACTTAGATCCCGGTGAAACCAATTATTTACATCAAATCGACTATTTTTGTGGAATAGTGCGGCGATTTGATTACACATACCCTTAGAGCTTAGTTTTAAATATTGAACACTGGACTGCATTTCTAGCAAATCACGAAATCACCTCTACGCCTATTAATTAAATGGTGCGATGTTTCCAGAAGATACCAAAATACTACTTAGTGTCGCTACTTCAGGTGAATTTTCTAGAATCGCTGAGGATCAAAACATGATGGCAGCATCTAATAACTAGCTGAAGAGACGTCATATACGACCAATCCACACTCAATTTCGAATTTGCACGGCACATCATAGGTCACTATGGCACCTTCCCAAAGAAGCACCCGCAGAGGCTCTGCCAGAGCCGCCAACCGCTCGCTGTCACCTCAAGATATTGCCCAAGGTGTGTCAGTGCTCACTCAACTGGATACCCACCGCCAAGCAGCTCGTGCGAGTGCAGCGTCGCTGTGTCTCGTCGAACCGGAGGACGAGGTCGACTCGCCGTGCCCAATCTATCACTCATTTCGCACCAGCGACCCCGAAAATCCCAGCCGCCTAATCAACTTCTCTCATCACGAGTTCGAGCGGCTTTGGAGCCAAGTTCGCATGCACATCAGCGAGAATTGGAACGTTGGCCGCGGTCGGAAATGTGAACAAACTCCAAAGAACGTATTTTTCATGGTTCTAACCGTCTTAAAGCACTGCGGCAAGTGGGACGTTGTCGCCAGTATCTTTCGCTTCAAGACCGGTGCCTTCCAGAAGATGATTTTATCATTCGCGGGGGTTATTGCTCCTTTTCTTTACGACCGGTTTGTCGCTTCCGTTGCTAATAAGTTTACAATGGAGCAGCTCGTACTCGGTGGTAACACGTTTGACCACCACCCCTACCCCCGCTACGCTACAGATGTTACCTTCCAACAGAGTAACATGCCGTCGGGCAAAATGAAGGAGCGCGCGTCGTATTACAGTGCGAAGCATCACCTTCATGGTCACAAGGTAGATGTGTCAGTATTACCCAATGGGCTTGCCTTGAACTGTACAAAGCATTACCTTGGTATCAAAGCCGATATTGAGATTTTCCGTCACAACCACGCCTTTCACCTTCAGCACCTTCTCAAGAGCTCAAGCGAAAGGAATATGACGGATGAGGGTCCGATGAAGGATAAGTATCCGGATTCGTGGTGCGTACTTGCGGACAAAGGCTATCAAGGTTTAGCTGATGACTTTCGCGTGATTACCCCAATCAAGAAAAGACCACTACAGCAACTGACACTGGATGAAGGCAGGACAAATGATCGCATTGCCCACGACCGAGTCATTGTCGAAAACTACTTCGAGCGACTGACAACGTTGTGGGCAATGTGCTCCGACAAGTATCGATGAGACAAGAATAACTATGACATGTTCTTTCGCTCCTGCGTCGCTCTTACAAACTTTCATGTGCGGATCCTTCCGCTACGCGATGAAGACGGAGAGAACTACTCGAACTATTTGAAACGACTTCAACTTCTTGGAAATGGAATGAGACCAAAGCGGTTGGAAGTGCAGCGCCACTATCGGGAAAAACGTCGAATGCGCCTTCGCGGAATGTTAACTGATCACATCGAACGTCCTTTATCAGGAAGCCATCGTATTCGTGCGATGGCTAAGAGCGACTCAGAGAGTGAGGATTTATTAAACCACGAGAGCTACGTATTTAGTTAATAGAGATTCGCCGGTCGTTCTTTTTGCGACTTAGAGTTTGAGAATATTTTCAATGATTTGATAAAATGAACCGCTCAAAGAGCAAAGGCAAACAAATCCACCTGGCTTTCCTTATAAACTCGTATGTGTGTTGATTTTGATAATAATTCGATCACTCCAAAAAGACGGCCACAAATCTACGTGTTGGCGTTTATTATTCCCATTACCCAGTAACTAACTTTGAGATCTAATGAGAGCCGCGAGTTCGCCAACGAGGGACACAAAAATGATATTTGCCGCGCAGACATTATCAGCAAACCGGGCGACGGGTTCGAGAATTCGTACAACTGCGTTCTCAAGCTCCTAAACAACCACTCTATCGTTCTCAACATGAGCATGGCCGGGTTTAAGGAAATCGAAGTTCCATTCTTCATGTTCTTCCGAGCGCTTGGGGTCTACTCCGCTAAGGACATCATTTCGTACATCACGTACTCATTCGACGATGAAGAACCCATCAACAAGCAGATGCTCAATATTCTCGAGAGAGCCATGACCAACTAGTACCCGGACATTAACAAATACTCTGAAGAACGAGTTCCCAGGGAAAAAGGGAGAACCAGCCGGATCGGTCAATGTCATCACCAATAAAGACGACGTGCTCTAGGTGCTGACTCGATGCCTCAAGTATTACGACTCTTACAAGACGAAGACGACGCCCTCAACATCGAACGCTTTTTACTCGCGCGACTCGAGCAGACTATCGACCAGAAAAAAAGTTCCTTCCGCATATCGGTCTCCGGCCTGAGGATCGCTAAAAGAAGGCCGCCTACTTCGGACACATGATCCACCGAATGCTGCTGGTTCATCTCGGGTACTCGACTCTACCGACCGAGACTCCTACAAGAACAAGCGCATCAACGATGCCGGTATGTCCTACTCCCGAGTCTTCAAGACACAGTTCAACTTCATGGTTGATCAGAAACTCAAACGGCAGTTCATGAAGAAGTTCAAGAACTCCAGCTTCATGGACGTCAATTTGCACGCGCTTTTTAAGAGCGCCATCAAGGCGGAAGACTTTGAGAAGGCGTTGATGAATGCGATCGTTAGTGGAGACAAGACGCTTACCGTCAACAAGATGACATTCAAGAACCGCCTCTCCTCGCAGCAGCTTCACCACAAGAACAAGCTCAATGTGCTCACGACGTTCCGCAGCATTGACACACTCAACAAGGGCAACAGCGCGAAGTCTTCTGAGCGAGCTATTACGCTTCGGCAGGTGCACCCAACCGGAACAGGGTATATGTGCGGCATTACGTCCGCGGATACAGGAATTAAGGTTGGCATGAGCAAGCAACTGAGCGTCAGCGCTGATATTACGTCGGCCTCATCGTCGGAGGTGCTCAAGCACATCGTGTTGGAGGACAAGCAGCTCATCAAGACTGAGGCGATTCTTCAGGACATGACGCTGGTTAACAAACACAACCTTCACAAGGTTTTCGTCAACGGAGACTGGCTGGGATGCGTCCATGACTTCGCACTGTTCTTGACGATCTATCGCAAGAAGCGGCGCAGCGGGGAGATCCATCTCTACACAACGGTGTCGCATAACATCGCAGCCAACGAGATTCACATGTGGGTGGACTCGGGCCGTCTCGTTCGCCCGCTACTCGTGGTCAGCAACAACATGGCCAAGAAGGGCTACACCCACGACACGTTTAGGCAGTGGATCTCTCTCACCAACGACCACATCGCACAGCTTCAAGCGAGGAAGATCGACATTGACGATCTCGCTCGGCAAGGAATTGTTGAGTACATCTCTCCGGAAGAGCACGAGAACACCTACATCGCTTTTGAGCACGATCGTTTCAAGCAGCACATCACCGACCCCCTCCATCGCTTTTATTTTTTACGTCAATCGGGCAGCTATCGAAGCAATCCAATACGCATCATGGGCAACTCGAAGCGGCTCGCCACACACTGCTCCTGGTGGCCATGCTATTTCAGCATTCATAAATGGTGGATACGTATCAACACCATCCCTTCCTGACCAATCGAAATCGATCAACACGACTCGGTTCTTACTGGAATCCCACATCACGTTATGCTCCCGAAGATC